GGTGAGGCGCAAGTTTCCATGTCACTTGCTTGTTGTCCCTTTCCCATGTGGGGGCAGGAAGTAGATGCTTCTCTGGGGCCAGAAGATGCTCCCCTCTCAAGGTTTGTGTATGTAGGGGGAAGGATGGGGCCTTACAGGGCCTGTTTCTGTGCCCAGCCTTCATGCACAAGTCCCATTCCATGGGTGTCACTGCCTGCATGGTGGGAGACCCTGTGTGAGGGTGCACAGGGCAGGACAGAACGGAGGCCCTGAGACCCAGAGGAGTGCTTTCAGTCAGCAGCCACCTCCTGGGCACTAGGGAGACAGGCCTGGCCCCAGGGGCTTGCATGGGGCTGCCTGTAGGGCCAGTACCAGGTAAACAAGTACCTGTGCTGATTTCCCATTGAGGAGGTGGAGTGGAGAATCAGCCCAAGTGCCTTCAGCTAGAGTACTCAATGTGCCCCTTGACCTGGGACATGAATAACAAGGATGACCAGGGGAACAGTGGTCCAGGCAGGTGCAGAGGCTTGGGGATGAGCTTGGCTTGGTTGGAGAACAGTCAGGAGGCCCTCAAGGCTGGAGCAGAGTGATGGCGGGGGGATAGTAGATGAGGTTGGTGGCCTTGAAGGCTGTGGTTGGGAATTTGTATTTTCTCAGGATGCCATGGGGAACTTGAGGGATTTGAGCAACGGAGAGCTGGAGAAGAGGGTCTCTGGCTGCTGTGTGGGGTTAGATTGTGGGGATGAGGTTGCAGCACTGGACCCCTTTCCCTACCCCATCCTTGTGCAGAACTAGAATCTCTGCTTGGATTCCAAGTGGGGAGGGCTTGCCTGTCCCTAGTCCAGGACTCTGATTCCAGCAGCGCCCCCCCAGCCACAGCCAGGTTCTTTTCTCCCACTGAGGCGGTTCCTCAGAGGCTGACCCATCTGCAGGGAGTGAGCAGTGTAGAGAAGGTTCTGCTTCTGAATTGGGGGTGTGGGGGCCAGGATGTTGCCCTGGTGCTGCCAGAGAGGAGCATGGCTCTCTGCTGCTGGGTGGCCTTACCCAGTGGCAGCCCTCCTGGCCTCCCTTCTCCAGGGCAGGTGCTGTGAAGGTCAGGTGCACATGTTTAGTGCAGAGCAGTGTACCGTCCCCACGGGGGTGAGCCCTGGGAATAAGGTGTTGGGAGGAGGCTGAGGGATTGAGTCAACCGGCCTGCCATGGAGTGCCTGGCGAGCCTCCAGTGTGGCAGCAGACGCCGATCTTTTTGATCGTGAATGTTTATCTCAGGGCTGTCTTGCCGGGCTGTGGGCTGCAGGTGTAGCTGAGCGTTAGTGGGGAGCAGCAGCCAGCAGAGTCTGGCTTGGCATCAGTGCGGGTCAGGGGGTCAAGACAGATGGTTCCCAGCTGGGCAGGAGCTGGAGGGTCTTCGCGCCAGTGTTCCCCTCTTTGCCTTGTCCAGTCGTCCTAGTGGCTTTGGGCAGAGGGGAGGACAGGGACCTTTTTTTTTATGTCAGCCTGTGCTTGGCTCTCCATCTTGTGGCAGGCACCATGCTGGTTGCTTTTCCGGACATTTATATCTTTCTTTTCTTTTTCTTTCTTTCTTTTTTTTTTTTGTGAGGAAGATCAGTCCTGAGCTAACATCCATGCCAATCCTCCTCTTTTTTTTTGCTGAGGAAGACTGGCTCTGAGCTATCATCTATTGCCAATCCTCCTCCTTTTTTTCCCCAAAGCCCCAGTAGATAGCTGTATGTCATAGTTGCACATCCTTCTAGTTGCTGTACGTGGGACGCTGCCTCAGCATGGCCGGAGAAGCGGTGCGTTGGTGCGCGCCCGGGATCTGAACCCGGGCCACCAGTAGCGGAGTGCACGCACTTAACTGCTAAGCCATGGGGTCGGCCCCCAGACGTTTATATCTTGTTCAATTCCCACAACATCTGTGCAGTACCTGTCAGTTCCATTTCATGGGTAGGGACCTGAGACAGGGCAGTTAAGTTGCCCGCCTGCCCTGGTAGGACTGAGACTTGACCCCAGGAGTCTGGTCTGCAGGAATGCCTGGGCCCTTTCCCTTGTACCACATCCACCTTTCCCTCGGCTCCCTGATGAGAAACAGGCCCGGAATGGTTAGGCCCAGGCCTCAACGTGGGCAGGGCTGCCCAGGGCAAGGACCGCTGTCGGGGAGAGGAGGCAAGAACCCTGTGACCACAGAAGCCAAGACTGGGAATGAGTCCTGTTAGATTTGTAGGGGTCAGGAACCTCCAAGTTATGTTATCAGAGGGGCTAATGCTACTGCTGTAAACAGAGCAGGTGTTTATTAGCCCCATTTTACAGATGAAGCAGTTGAGGCCCCGGGCAGGGGGTGGGACTGTCCAGGGCTGCCCAGCAGGGTGTCCTTGGAGTTGGGATTAGATCTCAGGTTCTAGTCACACTCTAGGGTTTGGCACCTGTTCAGATGCATAGGAGACAGAATTTATTTAGTGGAGAATTGCGGTAGTCAAGGGCAGTGGTTCTCAGCATTGCTGCACATTAGAATTACCGGGGGGAACCTTTAAACATTCTAGGCTCCACCGCAGACTAAGTATGTCAGAATGTCTGAGGTGGTCCTGGGCGTCAGTGTCCCAGGGGCTTCCACTCTGCAGCCAGGGCAGAACCCCTGGTGTAGGCTGTGAGGCCATATCTCCACACACCAGAAAACATTTAAATTGGTCTTATTCTACTGAAATGTCTGAGGTGGGATCGAGTTATCTTGAAAAAATCAAACCCTCAAAAATTGAGGCCCATCTGGGTGCCAGGCTCTGGGCATGTGTGTTGGGGGGAGTGGGCTATTGAGGTGCAGGAGCTGAGGTTTCTGGTGGATGGGGGCTTGGCTGAAAAAGGAGAAGAAGGCTGGGGGCTGGAGCCCTTGGAGCCCAGGGCACTTGAGTCAGGAGAGATGAGGGGCAGGGAGGGGTGAGAAAGCAGGCAGTGTCCCTGCCTCCCCCAGTAAACCCACCTCCATCCCTCTCTGCCAGGCCATGGTGGCGTGTTACCCAGGCAACGGGCTGGGGTACGTGAGGCACGTTGACAATCCCCATGGCGATGGGCGCTGCATCACCTGTATCTATTACCTGAATCAGAACTGGGACATCAAGGTAGGGGTTAGGGGTGTGGGTGGGGGTGGGGAGGCCTCCCTCCACTTCATTTCCCACTCCCAGCTCAGCTTCTAGCCTTCTCCCCTTCCTCCTTTCAACCCACAGCGGGGCGGTGCATTCTGCGGCAGGCTTTTCCTGGGAAATGGCACCTCCTCTCCAGCTGACTGGTGGCAGCTTCGGGGAATGGTGCTGTCTATCCAGCGCTTCCCCGTCCCCCTCCATTTTATGTCTTCTTTAGTAGCTTCCTGCCCGTCTCCATGGTGATGTGGACTCTGGGCTGTTTTGCATCTTAAGAGCCTGAGTGGTGGGAGGGTGTGATGTGTGCAGCTCCTGTGCCCCCTGGTGGGCTCTCAGGGGGCAGGCAGTACAAGGTGGAGGCTCCAGGCAGGACCAGCCAGCCTCCTGTCTCATCCTCTGGCCTGCCCTCAGGTGCATGGCGGCCTGCTGCAGATCTTCCCTGAGGGCCGGCCCGTGGTAGCCAACATCGAGCCACTCTTTGACCGCCTGCTCATTTTCTGGTCTGACCGGCGGAACCCCCATGAGGTGAAACCAGCCTATGCCACCAGGTATGATCCATACTTCTTGGGATGTGCCCGGGGACCCCCCTCCATGCCAACAAAGTCTTGTCAGACCCCTGGAGTGACTAAGGAGAGATGAAGTGCTCAGAGGGGGCCTGGGTGGGAACAGGACGAGGCTCAGAGGGTGGACTCGAGTGTCACTATGGATACAGTGGCTTGAATGAAGAAGAGTGGTCTCTAACTGCCCTCCCGGGATGCTCTGGTCCCCAGGTACGCCATCACTGTCTGGTATTTTGATGCCAAGGAGCGAGCAGCAGCCAAAGACAAGTATCAGCTAGGTACGTGCTCCCAGAACAGTGTCCCCCACCCTCACATCCTTCCTAGTCCATGTACCTCACTAAGACTCAAGCCACCTCATCTACCTCATCAGTCTCTCACTAAATCCTCCACTCATTTTTCCTCATCTTTGCCCACCTTCCCTAGACAGCCGTCTTGCCTGGTGTCTCCAGCAGGAGCCCCGTCTCTTCTGGTCCTCTCCCCAATCTTCCCAGGTTTTCCTTGGCCTCTTTGTCCCTTCCTTGATGACTCACTCTCTCCTGTCCCCCTCTCATCCCCAGCATCAGGACAGAAAGGTGTCCAAGTACCTGTATCACAACCAACTACGCCCACCTAGTGGCCAGCCCCAGAGCTGCATGGACAGACAGCTTGCCCTGACTTCGGCAGAGCCCCGGGCCCTGTGCAGCCGGGCCAGCGGGCCAGCAGCCCACTGGTCTCGGTGCCTGCTCCTTCCCTGCCTCCGCTGCTGCTTCCAACTTTGCCTCTGTCCTGCCTGGTGTGGAGGATTCTGTCCGTCACTGACGACTGAGGAGGAGGAGAGACCTCTGCTGCCCTGTGATGTGGGCTGGGGTGGTGACCTGGGCAGGGGCCAGTGTTGGGGGCTCCCATTACTGGAGCTGGGGCCTGTGTGCTGCCCTGTCTGGTTGTGCCCCTCTCAGGTGTGGAGAGCTGGAAGGAGGCATCGCCACCTCCCACCAGGCTGTAGGATTTGGGGTTGGGGTGAGTCATGGCCTCTTGCTGGCAAAGGTTTGTGGGGGGAGTATCCCCAAGCCCCCCACTCCTCCAGCCTGGAATGTGAAGTGACTCCCCAACCCCTTCGGCCGTGGCACCTTTTGGACTAGGCTGCTGCTGCTTGGGCAGGATAAAAGGTGCTGGGAGGAGCATGAGGGTGAAAGTCCTGTCAGCCAAGAAAGAAATAAAGTTTACCTCAGAGCTGCACACATCTGATTCCGCTCCCTCTCAGTAAGGGAGGAGGGATCCCTTCACCTGCACTTCAGCGCCTTTATTGACCAAAGTGGGTAAGGAGGTCTGAGAGTCCTCCTTGTGGCTCGCTTGACCTCAGCGGGCCACCAGGCGGAGCTGGAAGACCGGTGGGGGGATGTTGCCCAGGCTAGTGTGCTGTGGGGTGAGGCCAGTGGGGCTCCCCACAGGGAGCAGGCGGAACTGCTGCAGGATGGTAGTGAGGAAGAGGAACATCTCTGATCTGGCCAGGCCTGCACCCGGGCACATTCGCTTTCCTGGGGACACAAGGATGTGGGATGAGAACCCCATGTGCCCCAGGGCCTGTCCAGGCTGGTCCCCTCCCTGCCTGACTCGGACCTGAGGCAAAGGGCATGAAAGCGTCATTGCTCTGGAACTCGCCCTTGTCGTTCAAGAAGTTGGCTGGGTTGAAGCAGTCTGGGTCCGTGAATTGGGTGGGGTCCCGGTGTGCAGACGCTAGCAGAGGAATCACGGAGGTGCCCTGGGGGGATACACAAGGGTTACCTGTGGACTTGGCAAGCGACTACCTTTCAACCATCCAAGACACATTTAAAAGCCAGTGGGAAGACAGGCCTTCTTTCTTGCTCCCAGGGCTACATGAGTCAATCAGCGCGCCGCGCACGCTCACGCCTGCAGATCTCGGTTCATAGGCACTTCCCGGTGCCCATGCAGAATCCCCAGGCTCGGTGGGCACCTTGGGCAGGAAGTGGCCATGCAGGTGGGTATCGCAGGTGACGGCACGCGGCATCCCCAGTGGTAGCACAGTGATGAAGTGCTGGATCTCATGCAGCACCGTGTTCGTGTAGGGCAGGCGCCCACGGTCCTCCAGGCATGGGGCGCGCATCCGACCCACCACGGCGTCTAGCTCGGCCTGCACCTTGGCTGGGGCCAGCGAAGGCTGTGAGCTGCGTATGCCCTGGTCCCCAAGCATCTCCAAACCCTAGCCCCCTCATTCCTGGCTCTCCAGCTCGCAGACCTGCCACCTCTGGGCACTTGAGCAGAGTGATGCTCGTGGTCTCGGTGCCGCCAAAGAAAAGGTCGTGCGTGGTCATCACCAACGTCTCCTCCTGAAAATGGCTCTCCGGGTCCTTCTGTTCCTGTGGGCAGAGAAGACGGGCGCTGCCGCGTGCCAGGCGCCTGCTGGTGGGTGGCATGGATGGAGTTTAGGGCAGCAGGGGCCTGTACTTTATCCATCTCATCCAGGAAGCAATCGATGAAATCGCGGGCCTTCCCGGGCTGCCGCGTCTGCCGGTGCCGCTGGATTTGCTTAGAAATGAAGACCCGAAGCTCCGCGAAGTTTCGGAAGATTCGGTGGTGCGGGCCCGGGAGCCAGTCCAGGAGGCAGGGGGAAATGTTGTACATCTAGGGGGACAGGATCTCAATAGGACCTTGAACGAGACCACTAGTTTCCCTACGGGGAGACTGGACCAGGACTTTGATGTTATAAGTTCTCGAGCTCTAACACTCCAAGATTCGAAGACTGCCCCATTCTAATGATCCAGTGTAGGTTAAGTCTATGTACTCGGGGTTTGGCATAGGTCGGGCACACGAGAGATTGGGCTAGCCCTCTCACCTTGCCCCATCCGGAATTTATGATGCGGAAGTTGTCATTGAAAAGGTCCAGGAGCCTCAGGAACTCCGGGTCCCCACAGTCATAGCGGGTCCCGAAGACCACGGAACAGATAACATTAGATACAGCATTATCGAGCAGCTGCCTGGGGTCGAACGGGGCTCCTGGGAGTGAGAACGGGCCAGGTCATAACGCTGTTGCTCCGCCCCCCGCTAGGTCTTGGGCTCACTGGCCTCGTTCCACCCGAACGAGTTCCCGCGGCCCCTTCTTGTCCATTGGCCACACCCACACCAGGCCCCTCTCCTTTCCCGCCAGGCCGCACCAGTGGTGGCTTGAAATTCATCAACCAGACAAGCCGCCTCCTCCACGACGCGCTCCTCGACGTTCCGCGTACCCATCCCAAACTTCTTCAGCGCTTCAAGTGCAAAATTGCGCAGCGTCCGCCAGCGCTGCCCGTTAGAAAAAGCGATGCCTGGGGGTGGGGCAGAAAAGGGGGGGGCCGGCCGGACAGTTGGCCACGCCCCATCCCGGAAACATGCCGTCGGGGAGCCGACTTCCTCGCAACTCTTCGCTCTGCTGCTTTTCCAGACCTCTTGGTTGCCAGCCCAGCCTTCTCAGCCCTGTCCTCACATGGGCCCCACCTCTGCTGGTCCGCATCCCTGCCCAGCGCTTGTTCTCTTTGGCTTTGACTCTCAGGCTCTTCTCTTCTATTGGCTGCACGAGGAACCAGCCCCCCGCCCATCCGTCCCCTGCGCTGTAGCTCCGCCTCGCCCTCTCCTCGCAGCGTGCGCTCATTAGCCGGGATTCTCTACTGGGCCCCGCCCCATCTTCCCGGCCCCGCCCTTATTCGCCCAAACTGGCTGGGCCAGGCCCACACTTCCGCCGTCGGGGTCTCACCGTTTCCGCGTGTGAAGCGTTCGAAGACTGCCGTGGCCCCGCGGCCGGAGAAGGTATCCGCTTGCAGCACTAACGCGTCCCGCAGCGCTGCGTAGCCGCACAGCACCACGGCAGGGCGCGGGCCCAGCCACACTGTGAACACCGGGCCCCAGCGGCCAGAGAGCTGTGTGGAGCCGGGGCTCAGCGGGTCCCGGTCGGGGCTCTTGACCCTTCCTCCGCCGAGACCCCAGAGCCCCGCCCCCAGCTCCCTCCGCGGTCACACAGACCCAGGAGGCCCGGTCTCAGTCGCTCATTCCAGGCCTAGCAGTTCAGATCCCCAGCTCCTTCCTCCTTCAGCCAGGATTCCAGGCCCCCAGCTCCTTCTTCCCTCAGGGTCTAGAAGTCTGGGTCTCCAGCCCCCTGCACCCGCAGAACTAGGCGTCTGGGTCCTCAGTACTCTCCCTCCCCACCTTGAACCAGGAGAAGAGACCCCTCCGCTGTCCTTCCCCCTGGACCTGACTGCCCGACCCAGGCTCCTCCTCCTTCAGGACCCAGGAGCGTGGTGGGAGTGGAGGGTGAGACACACACGCACACGCACGCGTGAGGGGGGCAGCGCGCCTCCACCGACTCCGCAGTGAACCAGGAGCTCAGGTCCACTGCCCCGGTCCCTCAAGATCTGACTGCCCACCCCAGCCTTCTCTTCCCTCACAGCCAGATGTCCATGCCCCAGCTTCCCACCCCCAAGTCTCCTTCCCCGGAACGCAGGACTGCAGGCCCCTCAACCTTCCTCGGGTCTCACGGGGATCGAGCCCTCAGCTCTGTCTTCCTTCAGAGAACCAGGAGTTCCAGCCCCCAGCCCCACCTCCACGAATCCAGAATTCTGTCCCGCCACCCACTCTCAGGGCTACCTCCATGAGTGCACGGTCCAGGCGTCCAGACTGCCGCTGCAGCAAGTTCCTGAGCAGCGGGAGTGGCGTGGGCCCTGGGGGTAGGGCCCCCTGAGTCTGAGTGCCCCGCGCACCCCACCCCCGCCTGGCTAGCGCCAGCAGCAGGAACAGCAACAGCAGCGCTGTGAAACCTGTGATCAACATGCCCTGTCTTCGATCCTCTATGCCTACTCCCGTTGGCCTCTATTTGATTCCCTTGGGGTGTTGGGTGGAGCAGGGGCGGAGACGGGGAGTGGGAGGGGTCCGTGTCTGCGGGCTGCTCATTCCCTGGATTTCCCCACTCAAGGTCTCCAACCCGTCCATCAGCCCTAATCCTCCTGTGCCTGGCTCCCCCTGGCTTTGTTTGTACCTGCCTTAGCGGGTTTCATGCACCAGCATTTCTGTGTCAATACACCTGGCCAATAGGTGTACCCTCCTGAGCCCCTAGCACCTTTGCGTCCATCTTACCTGGCCTGTAGGTGTGCGTTCCTGAATCCCCTGGCCACCTCTGGGCCCATGACCCCTGAACGCTGTACCCTGTACTTCTGATTCGTAAATACACTCTTGGCTCCTAAGTACACTTCTAAAAACACCCCAGGTGATGTGCCTGTTAGTCTGGCACTCCAGTGACCTGTGCCTGCGATTCCACTGGCACCTGAGCGCTTCCTTGTCATTTCCAGGCCCATTGCTCTTGGAGCCCTGTATGCTGTACCTGTGTCTCAGATGCTCACCAGAGTCCCCTAGCCTCCTGGTGCCCATCAGCCTGGCACTTCTGTACCTATCCTTACGACTCTTGGGTGCTTTCCCACAAGTTGACCCCCTTGTATCTCCATACTTGTGCCCTGTCCCGAACTCCTGCCATCTCTATTCCCGATGCTCTGGCTCTCAGACGCCCTGAAATGTCTTCTGGCCAAGCCCCTGCACCCCCTGGTCTCCAGTCCCCTAAACCCCTCAGTGGGCCCCCCGACCTGTGGCCAGGCCATGATGGCAGACAAACTCATGCCTCACTCTGGCTCACCCTAGGGGTGTGGGCTGGAGGGGGCAGATCCAGGCCTGGATGGGCCAGGGGTGGGGGATGTGGCTGAGTCTGTACTCGGAACAGAGTGTTCGGGAGCGCACCCTCCCACGTGCCCCTGCCTTGCCAGATCCAGCCTTCTGCCAGGTGCCTGGCGCAGGGCCCAGACCTGGGGAGATGGTGGGGGGCGGTGCAGAGTCTGGGCTTGTCTCTGGGTGTGTCTCTATTTATCTTTGTTTCATCTCTCAGACAGTCAGAAACACTGTTTCTCTTTCTGTCCATCTCTCTATGCCCATTTCTCTCTCTTGTTTTACTCTCAGTGTCTTGCCTCTGTTCATATCTGTTTTTTCTCTCTCTCTCTTTTCAATATGTCTATCTTTTTCTCTCTCTCCGTGTTTGTCTTGACTTTAATCTCCCTCTGTCTGTGCTTCCCTGTCTCCTTGCTTCTGTCTCTGTCGCAGGTCTTCCTACCTGTCCTCCTTTCTGTGTCCAGGAACCTGGTGACTGGCAGGGTTGTGGGGCAAGGCACCTCTTCAGAGGCACTGACACCAGTCAGCAGGGGTACAGTGGGGTGCAGGAAGCGTGCCCTCCTCGGACCCCACCCCATCCCACTGTGCCAGGCTCTCTGATGGATCCTCTTTATTAGGGTCTCTTCAAGAGTAGGCATTTTGCCTTGTTCACTTGTATCCCCAGCACCTAAAATAGTGCACAGCACACAGTGGGTACTCAGTAAATGTTTGTTGAATGACTGCGTGACTCTCTTCATCCCAATTTCTGTCTCTGTTTCTGTCTCTAACTCAGATTTGATTTCTGTCACTCTCTCTTTTGCCGAATCCTTGTGACTGTTTCTGTTCCTGTCTGTCTCTGTGTCTCATCTCTTGAGGCTTCTGTCTCTCTCTCTCTCTTTTTTTTTTTTGGTGAGGGAGATTGGTCATGAGCTAACATCCATTGCCAATCTTCCTCTTTTTGCTGAGGAAGATTAGCCCTGAGCTAACATCTGTGCCCATCTTCCTCTATTTTGTATATGGGATGCCTGCCACAGCATGTCTTGATGAGCGGTGTGTAGGTCTGCACCCAGGATCCAAACCTGTGAACCCCAGGCCGCTAAAGAGGAGCATGCGAACTTAACCACTACACCACCGGGCCTGCCCAAGGGTTCGGTTTCTCTAGCTCTCTTTTTCTTTTTCTCCCAGATCTCTGTGTCTTTTCATCTCTGTTTCTCTCTTAATTTCTATCTCTGTTTTAGAATCTCCTGTCTTCCTTCTCTCTGGGCATCTCTGTCTCCCCGTTTTTCTCAATGCCCCTCTTTCTCCTCCTCTGTCTCTCTGTCTGTCCCACTCTATCTTTGGCTTTCAGAATCTCTCTCTGCTGTCTCTGTGTATCCCTCTGTCCCTTCCTGCCTCTCTCCATCTCTCTCTGTGTCTTTTTCAGTATTTCCGTGTGTTTCTCTTCACTGTTCTCTATCTTTCTTTCTCAGGACCTCTGAGTCTCTCCCTCTCTTCCTCCACCTCCGGATCCCTAGCTGGGCCCTGGGGCAGACTCTGTAGTCGGCCTGAGGTGGGAACAGCCAGCATGAGGATTAAGGAGCTGATGGCCCATGTGAGGACCACCTATAAGCCACACCGCAGAAGCCCCATATTCAGCAGAGCATGTCCCGGCTTTTGGAGGGCCTTCGGAGACCCCGTTCAGGGTAGGGCTTCCCAGGCCACCTTCACCCTGGCTGGGGGGCCAGCCCCACTCTGCCTGACTCTGGCTCAATGAAGCTTGAGATGCCGCCTGCTCACTGAGAAAAGCGGCTGTCAACAGGATGTCAGGGTGTCCAGTCTAGTCTCAAGTTGGGAGGCCCCATGCCTGAGGCTGCTATCTCCCCCCCCAAAGGGAGGAATTACAAGGCGAACAGTCCCAGGAGAGGGGTGAGAAAGAGGGGAGAGTTTCAGTCTTTCGGGGTGCCTCCCTTCCCCCATTCATTGCCCTTCTGCTCTTTCTCTGGTCATTTCTGTTTCTTTCCTTGTCTCTCTCTTCTATTCTCTGTGTCTCCCCTTTTCTCAGTCTCTGTATCTCTCTGCCTTCCTCTGTGTCGCTGACTTATGAGACTGAGAGGAGCAGTGTTGGAGCCAGATGCTCTGTGTTCTGATCCCAGCTTTGCCTGTCTCTGGCTGTGTGATCTTTGGCAAGTCACTTCACCTGTCTGAGCCTCAGTTTGCTCATCTGTAAAAATGTATAATAATATTGCTTAGCCTCATAGGGAGATTTAAATGAGGCATTTAGAACAGTGTGTGAATAGGAACACTATGTGTTAGTAATTGTTATTTCTCCGTCTCTGTGTCTGTTTATATCTCCCGGTCTCGGTCTCCCACTTTCTCCTGGCTTACATCTCCATCTTTGTACAGCGCCCTGCGTCTCTTACAGATCTGTTTGGTACCTCTCTGGGCTGCTGTCTTTTTCTCTGCCTCTGTGTCTTCAGGCCCTCACAGCCTTTACCTTCCAGCCTTTCTCCAGGAAACAATTTCTCCCAATTTCTAGCTGCCCTAAGGGTGAGGGTGGAACTAGCCTTCTCTCTCTGCAGCCAGACCTTCCTTCTCCCCATCCTAGAGGACTGTCCTCCCTTTAATTCAGCCAAGGCAGGTTTGAATCTATTATAAAGATAATTTACTAGGAAATGATACAAAAAGCCCCAAAACGGCGAGCAACAGAACGAGTTCGGTGGGTAAGTCAAGCAAGGCATGCAGGGCCCCTTCTTCAGGTCCTTCTCTGGCTCTGGGGGCGCAGACTCGGTAGAGATGGGGATGGGGGATGGGCATGTGGCAGGCACAAGGTGAGGGGAAGCGAGTGTGACAGCGAGAGAGATGAGGGCACAGCGGGACGAGAAGAGGCGCGGAGCAACCCCTCCGGTGGGCCTCCTCGCTCGCAGGCGACTCTGCAAGGGCCGC